ACCCCCCCCCCCCCCCCCAAAACAAACAAAAACAACAACAACCAAACAAATAAATCATCCAAAGAAGTAAGATAGTTTGAGGACTGAGCTGACCTGTGGGAACTGCGTGGCCTGTGTGGGGCCCGTGTACACCTGCGACATCATGTGTGGCAACATGGGTACTCCCGTCGGCCCCATCTGGCCTACCGGGCACGCCTCCGACACCACCTCCATGCCGCTGATGGACGCGCGGCCAAACTGGCCACTCAGGGCGTTCACGTTGTTTTCCTGGACACGCGGACAAGAAAGGATGTGTCAAATTCAGCTCTCAGTACGTGGGGTGTGAGGGCAACCTGTTTTAGCTGGACACAGCAAACACTACCCCCCCCACCAAATTAGTCCTTCTCTTTCCATTCAATTAATGATACTCACTCTGTTTAAAAGTTTATTTTAAAAATCTTAAAATGTGGAAATTTTCCGACAATCTCCTTCCCTCATCCTCAAAGAGTTGCCTCTTGGGCAATGCCAGTTCATAGCAAGGACTCTCTTTCATGAGTACAGAAGATTAGAGGAGTTACTGGAGAGTAACATACAAAGAAAAAAAGGAGGAGAAATAAGGACAATAGATGTTCGATAGGAAAGAAGGAGCAGACCACATTAGAGCACTACTTGCCAACAAACTACAGTCAAAGTGTGCATACATGAGTCTGTGTGTTATCACGTGAGTGTGTGTGTGTACATTAGTTTAAGTATGCATAAGTGCATATATACACTGATATCATTTCTAAAAATAGAGAATATACAGTTTTTTATACAGTTTAACAGGAGAGCCACAAAACTGAATATTGTCACCAATAAAACAACATGACATTTGCTTTAAAGATAAAAAGGAAGTTATAATGATCAACATTGTATTCTTCAAAATACTGACTGGGGATGTTTGCAAAGCGTTTGTTTTCTTGGTAACAATATTCAGGGGATTTTTTTGGCTCTTCTGTCAAATAATAAAAACTGCATATACAGTACAGTCAAACCTGTGTAAGACGGCCACCCATTGTCAAGGAGAAAAGTGGCCGTATAATCAGGTGGCCGTCTAATGCAGGACTGATCAAGTTAAGGAAAACAAACCATTCCCTTCTGAGGCCCCAATCGAAAGTAGCCCCATTATGTTGTCTTTGTTGGTGTCGTTGTTGGTTTGTATTTCATTTGTAATTTGTATTTTGTCTCTGATTTTGCACAAGGGTGACAATAAAACGAAATATATCAGACAAGGAGGACCGAGTGCCATGTTAAAATAAACACATGGGTTGGAGAACGAGCGACGCTTCTGTAACAAGTTCATGTTGACATCCTTTGTTACTTTGTTACAGACTGGGTAAACAGTGACCACTCATCTCACTTACGATTTGGGTATGAGTTCTGGGCAGGGCTTATGGGTTATGAGGGATCGCACGCTTACCTCACCAACAGCTGAAAATTGGTAGCTATTGGTCAACAGTGGGAGGGGCCTACGCAACATGATCAGTTGGAGGGACTACTTAACAACAACGACAGGTGATTGAATTATGACGGCTCGCCCACAACACCAGGGCCAATGCACAATTTATGACAAAACGCAATGGAGTCACCTATCTAAGTATTATTGCTTTGTATGATAGGGGTTGTGTGTTAAATTATGGTGGCCGCGGCCGCGTTGGACAGGTGCCCGTTTTACACAGTTAAATTATATAGAAAAAACGCAAGAGGGGAAATGGAAAGTGGCCGTTTGTACAGGTGGCCGTCTTATAGAGGTGGCCGCCAGGGCAGGTTCCACTGTATTTTTTTTTTAAATGACAGCAGAACGTGGGTCACTGTGTATATTACATAAAAGTGTGCACAACATGGACTTACCACAGGGTACATCATAGTGGGTGCGGGTGGGGTGGCAGGGTTCACGGGTGCAGGAGAGTGGCTCACAGCCATGAAGGGCGGCGGGTGGCTGGGGTCAAACCGGTACATCGACCCGTCTGCGTTCACATGGGGCTGCACTGTAGACACATACAGTTGGTGTGTTTGAATAAAGACAACCGCATCAACACAATAACAATCATTATGTTTTGGTAAGAGTTTTACGGCACTTGCAACACAATTAGGCCATATAAGTGCCGAAGATTAGAGGTGTTACAAGAGAGTAACAACCATAAAGAAAAGGAGGAGAGATAAAGATGATAGTTGTCTGATAGGAAAGAAGGATCAAACCCCACCACAGAACCCACCAACCACCCACCAACCACCCACAACAATCATTATGTGCGGGGGGAAAAGTCGGATACACAGATAGAAACTGAAAACATAGAAAAAGTCAAGAAGTAGAACCAACCACTGACCAATATATATAGGCAAATGCTGCAAGTTAACATACACAAAAACAGGTAAAAGCAATCCCTCCTCTCACGGTGTATCAAATGGAGCACCAAAAAAATACCCAAAAAACCCCCCCACTCCAAAAGAGGAACATCCCGTCACCTCCCACATGGCCTAGATTGTATCAAAAGAAATGTAAAACAGAATATACAACAAAGAGAAAAGATAACTCTCCACAAGACTGCTGTGAATGATACCCAATGTTATTGTTGCAAATAATTAAGTACATTTTTTTCCCTTTACCCTGTAAAGCATAGTTAAATAAATAGAGTTACTCATTTTTCTTGCAAGTTTTCACTGGAATAAAATGAAGAAGACAGAAACAATAGTGGTGATTTAGTGCACGAAAAAAAAAGAAAAAAAGAAAAGAAATACACTGACAGCAACTACAGTAGGAGAAAAAAGAAGAATGGGCTACCAGTGGCACCTTCCAGCCACCTGCTATTGCAAAAAAAAACACATGAAACTGGAGTTTTCGCTTAGTCCACATCCACAGACAATTGTTTTAAGTTTGAGGTTTTTCTAATGCAGGTGTTTTTTACACTCAATCGACACAACTTTAATCATTTTTGGAGAAGAGCTCCAGCCCTGCCTGTCACGGTCAACTTCGGTTGAGAAGGACAACATCCCAGTAGAAAGACAGAGATTTCACCAAAATTGTCCCCATACAGGAATTGAATTCGGGGTCTCCTGCATGCAACAGCAAAGTGTCTAACTGCTACACCACAGAAATAACTACGGCAACACAGATTTCCATAGGAACATCTCAGCCTTTTATCTCGGACAGTTCTCAACTTTCACCAACAAGTACATGTCTTCTCACTTACTTACTCCGCCACCACAATCATTTCAAGAGTAAATAACATTGTTTCGTTTGTTCCCAATCCTGTTAAACTTTTCCTCCAATCAATTGCAATTGAACTTGTCCAAGACAGCCACCCACTGTCAACTCAACATACCAAAGCATTCGCCAATCACCCATGTGGACGTCATGGACGGTGTCATTAAAACAGAGAAAAAAAAATACAGGGGGGAAAATGGTCATTTGTACAGGTGGCCATTCAAGCATGTTCCACAGTACTGTTGATTAGTGGAATCCAGAAAGCAACTCTGGGAAGTAATGGACCAGAGAAACGTGTTAGTTTAAAGGCATCTACTAGGGCTTTCATGAAGGTCAGTGTGACTCTGGAGTCTCAAGTGTCAAGCTTGATTATGAATTAATTTATTTTTAAATATATGTAGTATTTGTACATCCCCATACAGCTGATTAAAACCTGTCAATTCTTTGCCATATCGACAGACCAAAGGGCTAGAACCCAAATGGCTGCTGGATCGGAAAAGTAAAGTAAAGTAAAGTAAGTACGTCCCCATTGACACACATGACAACATTTTGGGGGTGGACTTCGACCCTGTTTGAGAGAGTGAACCCAGGCTGAGGGGGATACAACGTTCAAGCAGAAAGACAGAAATACTCCATTAAAGTTCTTCCGACACAGGTGTCAAACTATGCTCTTCTGTGAGTGACAGCAAGGTGCCAAGGCACGACACATCAGATGCCCTTAAGCTTGATTGTAAAAGATTGCAACGGAATAAATACAGTACTGCGAAAGACAGAATAAGATACTCAATTAAATAACATCCAAATGCAGAAATTATGCTCATGACTCCTTTTGTTTTAGTAAGCGTTTTATGGCACTTGCAAAACAAAAAGGTCATATAAAAGCCAAAGGTTAGACCTGTTAAAAGAGAGTAACAAACACAAAAAAGATAGAGATCAGGACGATAGAATGATGTTTGATAGGAAAGGAGAAGCAAACCACACTAGAACACCCGCCAACCACCCACAGCAAGATGGTGTATGGGACGGCTTTTTTGTTTACTTGTGTCAGTAACGAGGAGCATATCGACACGATATCAGCCATTTAGTGCAGACAAGAAAACACAAACCAAGAGAAACAGAAAACAGAGGGAAAGAAAATAAGCAGGACCCAACAATAACACCTCCTACACATCCCCATTCAGACTGACAGCAAGACAGCGACCAAATTAGGACAGCGACAGCAATACGACAGCAAGTTCTTGGTACGGTTTAAGTGGAGAAGTGAGACATAAATCGAACACAATAACCGGCATTCCGTGCCAGATAGTTTCCCCCACAGCATGATAAATTTTCTAAAAAATATATCGTTAATTGAAATTGTAAGTGTTTTACGCCTTCATCAAAACAATTTAGATTATCTACAAGGGAGGGATCCTCAAGCCCTGTCAGGGCCAACCTGAACTGAGACAGATTGAGATATTGATAAAAACTTCCCTGAACTCGTACCCTCGGCCCAGGTTGGCCCTCAGCGTAACTGCTACATCACAGAAGCTGGTAGACTTATCTTTCTCACAATTAAATCTTATAACAACAATAAATTGCAATGAGCAGGTGCCCATGTCTAAAGTACATTCGTAGGATGATAAAGGAGGAGTTAATATATTTCTCTCTGTAGACCAATTCATTGCCCAATCACTGGACTGCTTTTGATAGTATATCCAACTAGACCAGATCCTTACCCATTAACAACACTTGGATTTAGGTACCAATCCCTTGACCTCGAGACAATAACCTAACCCTCGTGGCGACCTCTTCCATTTCTTTATGCCACACACACCCTTACCATAACTTTAACGTATTTCTTTTCCCCACCCTTACTCGATGCAACACCAAACCCTGAGCCCGTGTCTCCTTTTGCGCGCGATGGTCGCTAGTGATCAGTTACGAGCTGTGTAGCCTTATGCACGACAATATCGCACCAAAATTTTCAGTCACGCGCAACAAAATCGACAAAACTGTCTCCTTGTGTGCGACGCAACGTTTAGCCGCATACGACTGTCTAAGCCCTTGAACAACTGGCAATTCACAGAAGAGAGACAGCAGCAAGTTTTATTTGTCAAGATGGACAAGGAAGTACAAAGTCCGTCAGATGGGAGTTCTACGAGCCACTGACATTTTTTATTCCGTACACAGCCACTCCCGTATTAGTCCTCCTCCTCCTCCTCCTCCTCTTCTTCCTCCTCCTCATCCTCATCTTCCTCCTCCTCATCCTCCTCCTCATCCTCCTCCTCCTCCTCCTCCTCCTCCTCCTCCTGCTGTCCATTAAAAAAACCAAAATATTTTATTTAAGTAAGAGTTTTACGGCACTTACAACACAATATGGTCATATAAGTGCCCAAGATTAGAGGTGTTACAAGGGAGTAACCAACACAAAAAAGGAGGAGGAGAGATATGGACGACAGACGTTTGATAGGAAAGAAGGAGCAAACCACATGCAAATTTTGGTCAAATTGAATATGAACATCCTATACACACACACACACCCCCACCACGACACCACACACAGTGTGTCGACCAGCACTCCTTGGCAGGGTATTTTGACCAATGGTGATGCTCTAAACCTGTCACACCCCCTGCCTGTCGCACGCGACACACCCTTAATCGCTACATGGACCGATTGTAGCTGACAGTTGCAAGCGACTGTAGCGTGCGACTAGACATCACGTCGCATGCAAGGAGACGGTTTCTTTATCATCTTACTAAACAGATTTTAGAGCGGCAAGGACCACACGCGACGCGTCACGCATAAGGAGACAAGCTCTAACCCATGAAGAATAAATCTACCACCAGACTACATAATACAGAGAAAATCACAAGGGAGACAACACCTTAAGAGGAAATATCGTAATAAAAACCATATGCTGTAGTCCCATTCAAAATTTAGGGAAGGAAACTTTGCACAAACGAATTAGAAAGGTCATGTAATGCAAGGCAAAAATGGAAGATAAGAAAAAATAAAAGGGTGAGAAAATAAATCAGGGAATACAAAGAAAAAAGCTATGGTATAGAACGGTACCAACAATACAGAGTAAATCGCAAGGCAGACTATGGTCTTAGAGAGAAATACTGTAATAAAAACCATGTGCTGTAGTTCCATTTGAAATTTAGGGGCAGCAACTATGCACTAACTATAGTATTAGAATGGTCATTTAATGCAAGGAAAAAGTGCAAGAAAGGGAAAAAAAAAAGAGGTAGAGGAAATAAGGCAGCGTCTACTGGCACAAAAGGTATGGTACAGCAAAGTACACTGGTACTGTAGAAAAAATGAGAGATAGCAACCGGACACACTGGTAGCAAAGGTATAATAGTGGCAAGGTACACACGTAGCATAGTACGTCAGATAGTAGCACTCATGTACTGGCAGAACTCATACAGTCGTATCAGGCAACGCTTGTAGCAAATAAAAGATAATAGCAAGGATACATGGGTAGTACAAAGTACACTAGTAGTACAAACTACACTGGTTACAAACGTATGACAGCAGTAGGGGGAAGGGGGGGGTGCACTGGTAGCATAGTTTGATAGAAGCAAGGCTACACTGGAAAGGAAAGTTCAGCAACTGCCTGTCTACCAACACAGAAAGTCCACGAGGGAAGCTAAGGTGCCAGAGCAGCTGATCTACCGTTTTCTATGATGGCATTAAGTTCTCCACATAACATTTCCATATGACCTGAACACGTTGGTTAAACATTTTTCTGATGGTAACAGGTTGATCAAATTTTTCTATGATGATAATACGGTCCCTACCCAACAATAAATCTCTGATGGTAACAGGTTCACCACCATTTCCAAGAAGGGATGAATTTTACTGTGCTTATCAAATAATATTTCCATGAAGGCGTGTACCAACATATTTTCCAAGATGGTAACATGTGTACCATGAATATTTCTACAAAGGTGACCCATTTACCGTTCAATATTTCTATGATATATCATATATATATATATATATATATATATATATATAATGCATATATATTTTTGTGACACGTTGACCATACAACACTTGTGTGATTGTGTTGTGCTTACATCACAGCAACGTCAATTGTATTGTCACAAAAACTGTCACAAACAGCTCAGATACGGTAATAAATTTACTATACAACACCTCCACTTCCATGTTGGCAACTCATTCGCTACATATTTCTATGATAGTACACTGAACACATCCCAATGGTGGTAACACATTTCCCACACAACATTTCTGTGATGTTCTATCTATATACAGTGCAAGATGGTAGCAAACCAGGAATTGTTAAGAAATCTACACGGAAAGCAAAACAAAATCAGCTGCCTTGGTTGAGTATATCAATATAAGGAATATATCAATATAAGGAATATATCAATATAAGGAGTATCAGCAGCAAATTGCAAAGTGAAGCGATGTTCGTGAGGCCAAAAATGACGGCGTGGTGTTTTGTGACAGCGGGGGGAAAGAGTCACACAAACATACCCACCACACATGTACAGGTACACACATGCAGACACACAGAGACAAACTGATGTGCCGACTTACTGGTGTGTGGGTCAATGATGAGGGATCCCACGGGTATGCTGGTATAGTCCGAGGACACCAGATAGGCGTACGAGGTCGGGCAGCCAGCTGCGGACACACACACACACACACGCTTTGCTTCCACCTTCTACAGTGTTGTAAGTTTGTTGGTTTGTTTGTTTGTTTGAGTAAAGAGAAGCACATCGACACACTAACGGTCATTTAGTGCTGGGAAAAAGTAAAACAGACAGACAGAAACAACAAGAGGGAAAGTAAAGAAGAAGAACCTACCAGTGGTGCCCTTCAACTACCCACCCACTGCGTTGTTTGCAAATCGGGATGCCGTACTTGACTTATAGCAAGGTCACACTGAAGACTGAGCACTGGCTATCTCTTTAGGTTTTAGTTAAGACTTTTACGGCACTTGCAAGACAATAAGGTCATAGAAGGGCCGAATACTAGAGGTGTTACGAAAGAGCAACTGACATCAAAAAGAAAGAGGATAGTTCAGGATGATAGACGTTAGAGAGAAAAGAAGGAGCAAACGACACCAGAGCACCCATCAGCTATCTATCAGCAGAGACTTATAAGTCTGAAAAGAAACACTGTAGGGGAATAAGGACACCCCCCCCCCCCCCAAAAAAAAACACAACTAATTTGGAACTCGAGAGCCAGTCGACCTTGCGCCAGCAGTACAAAGGCCACCAGTGCGCACACCCCCCCCCCCCCCCCAAACCAACACTTGAATGGGTTGCAAAACAGAACTTATTAAACTGAAAGAACCACAGAAATCATCTCAGTATCCAAAGGGGCGACTGATTTCACACTGACAACATTACAATAATGGCTGTTTTGTACAGGGAAAGAGCAAGGACGATAGACGAGAAATAAAGAGGGTGAGTATAGACGACTCCAATAAGTTGAATATTCATTTGATTGAGATAATGAGAAGCACATAAAGGTAGCAACTATTGTTTTAAAGAAAGAATTGAACAGACTGTTTAAAACAGAAGTAAGACTTCCATGTGCTAGCCTTCAACAACCAGCTTCCACAAAATGGAACTGAAATGTTTCCTTCCCAGCTTAATGCCCCACTGGACACAGAGAAAGTCATCCTACACCGTGGGCATACAGGTCTTGCTCTTGAAAAGGCTGAAATTCCCCTGCCATGTTGTGTTACAGAGACAAGAACCAACATTTCTACCAGTAGACACCTGGGCTTATATCAGTCTCGAAACAGTGCAGCATCACATTCTCATTGGCTCAGCACTCACCACTCACACAGCGATACATGAACGCTAAATTATCTTAAGTGCCATTTTTGGTGTTTTGAGGAAATCAGCACTGAAAAATGTTGGTTTTCAATAACTTGAAAACAATCACTCTTTTACACACTGCTTCTTGGGAGTTTTTTGGAGATAGATGTATTTGTTACAATAAAATAAAAGTTGTGTAATTCATTGCAGCGTGCAATACGAGACTATTTCCAGCAGTTTCTCAATTTTGGCAATTATGACAATTTAGCTTTCAAGGGTATGTATGCATGCACGCACGAATGAACGCACACACAAACATAAAGAAGAAATTCTCATTACAGCCAACTTTTTAAAACTAATAAAACCGACTCTATCCCAACAGCTAGTCAAGATGGTGAGACATTGGCCGAAGTAACCCTCTCCAAACCCTTCACACATATTTTTCGGCATGCAATAAATTCACATTCAATAGTTAACTTTACAACAAACACAACTACAATTGACATATCATTATTAATTTCATCATTATTATTATCATTAATCCTCTCTTGAGAAAGTTCATTATTCTTCAACATTTTTGTTTGTTTCAGTGTGAGAGTTTTACAGCACTTGAAACACAATTAAGTCATTTAAGTGCTGAAGATTAGGAGTTTCAAGAGCGTAACAAACATAAAAAAGGAGGAGAGATCAGTACGATAGACATTTGACAGAAAAGAAGGAGCAAACTACATCAGAGTACCCACCAACCACCCGCATAATTCTTCTACAGCATCAGAAAGTCCATGAAAGGCAACATTAAAAATCAAAGAATATTTATGCATTATTACATGATTTACTATGTATTTTCCAACACGAGAACAAACTTCCGCACTCAGACCCTCAAAAAACGTATTAAACATGAGTTTTTTTGTTTTTTTTAACATCCTTAACTAGTCGGCAGCTATGATTTCTTCCTCCTCTGCCAGAGAGAGCTCACTATCTCCCAGCCACCACACTCCCCCCCCCCCCCCCCCCTATGAGCCATGAGGTAGCTCTTCAGACAAGCAACACAAAAAACAGTATTGGAGCGGCTTTTACCTTGAGGGGTCTGCGGAGAGTTGACGCTGCGCTCTGGGGGCACCACAGGGGTCATGGTCGTTGTGTCACCGGGGTTAGAGGTCGCCAGGAGGGGTGGGGGGGTGCCATAGGCCGTGCTTTCTGGCACAGCTCGAGACTCTACACACATCACCAAAGAAAAAAGAAGAGTTATGTGTGTTTGTTTGTGTGTGTAAAGAGAAGCATACTAACACAAAATAACTGTTACAGACAGATAGACAAAAACAAGCGTGAAAGAAACGAATGAGGACCTATCATTTCAGCATAAGCTTGAAGACTTCATCCATTTTAGACACTTTAGGCTAACATCAAAGAAACTGTGTTGGAACCTTAGTTTGCAGTGACCTTTATGAATGGGCTTTTAGATTCACTTGGTCATCCAACTTTTAGACACATTTACAAAGATCTGAGAAAGTTAAAAAGAGCAATTCGATTTTATCTTGCCTTTACAGCAGTCAGAGGAAAGTGAACAAGCTACACCATGGCTACCCTTTAAACACCTAGCCACGGTTTGGTTCATTTGTTGTTGTTTTTTTTTTAAGTTAAAAGATTTAGTAAGAGTTTTACTGCCCTTGCAACTTCATAAGGTAATATGAGTGAGGAGGGGGGGGGGGGGGGGGGGGGCATTTACATTTTAAAAAAGAGTAAAACAAACAGCTGAGCTTGTGAGGAGAACTCTCACCTGTGGGAGGGGCGGTGTTGACCAGCGCCTGGGGGCAGGCGGCGGCCGCCATGGGGACGGGAGGGCCTGGCAGTGTGGTGTGCGGGGACACGGAGCCCGCGTAGCTGTTCGACTTTGTCATCCCACCCCTTTGTCGCGAACCACCGTGGGAGCGTGAGTCGGTCGTGCGGGTCGCCGAGTCAGCACTTTTGAAGAGGTGGCTGGTTTTGGCTTGGGCCAGGCTGGGTGCTCTCAGGCCATCCACACTGCCCTGGTGCTGCATCATGGAGGGGGAGTACGACCTGGGAGGGGGGAGGGGGGGGGCGGGGAGAGACACCAGCAAACAGAGATATTAGTTTAATCTTTAAAAGTTTAAGTAGTAAGTGTTTTACGGCACTTGCAACACAATAAGGTCATATAAGAGCCAAAGATAAGGTGTTACAAGAGAGTAAGTAACAAACACAAAAAACAAGGAGGGAAGATAAAGATTTTAGATGTTTGATAGAAAAGGAGCAAACCACGCAACAGCATCCGCCAACCACCTACAGATTTGAATTAGGGCAAAGAGAAACTTAAGTTTAAGTAAGTGTTTTATGGCACTTGGAAAACACTATGATTTTTTTAGTTTGTTTTGGTAAGTGTTTTACAGCACTTGCACCTGCATAAGGTGATATATGAGCGTGGTGTGAGGGACACATTAAACTTTTTCAGTAGGTAGGAAATTTTGAATTTTGCTCGGGTGGTTGCCGAAGCCTACTCTTATCGATTTTAGACCACCAAGGGATCTTTAGCATGTGCAACTTGCACACGCGCCCTCCGAGATTTTTCACCCTTGTCCGAGAAGGCTAGGTCTACCAGAAGATCAAGGTGTGGCTGAAAGACAGCAGTAAGAAGGACAAATGGGAGTAGCAGTAGAAAGGCTGCATAACGCCGCAACCATATTAACGCCCGACGTTCGGGCACAAAAGAATGCGCACCGCTCTTTAGTACGCCCGACGTCCTTTGTCGTCCCCGGTCAGACCGTCTCCGATAAAACATGTTCTATCGAAGACGGTCCGTCGGGCGAGATGGGAGGTAATTTTAATGATGTTATCTTTGCTTGTTTCCCCTTTCCCACCGCAATGACCCTACACAAAATTCTAGCAGTTCTTGGTCAGCTCTGCATATTTCTTGCAGTTCATTGAAACTGTTATTTTTCATTCGATAGTATTGTTGGAATTTTTCAAAAATCTTCCAACAACTGCGGAATAAAATGATGAAATTCGCCTAGTGTATCACGCTTTCTTTGGATGGGATGCACTGAAAATCTTCTTGTCTTGGTTTTCCTTCTTTGTCGGCGTCTCAAAAGCAACAACAACAAAAATTTTCTTCTTCTACCACACGCCATATTTGCAAGGCGGCAGAGTCTGACCGCCAAACTCCAGTGTTAGTACAGTCAGCCGCACCCGACGGACAACGGCAGTTCCGGTCTGACTGTTGGTGTCGGGCGTTAATATGGTTCTACCCTAAGAGTCAGGAGCCCAGAGAAGGGGGCAAAGGAGGTGAGGGGGTGGGGGCAGAAAGAGGAGACGAAAGCAGACGACAGAACATTGCTAGAGAGCAGGAAAGGAGGTGAAAGAAGACAATTTTAGAGAAGAATATTGTTCGGTCGCTACCCGGACTCTAACCTGGGACCTTTGAATGAGAGGCCAACACCTTAACGTCTAGGCCACGAGATCATATCTGAATAGGTTTTTGCCATTCCTGTAAAGCCAAGAAATATTTCTCGCTAGGTCAATAGAGTATCATCTCTCTCTCATGAGGTGATATAATTGCCGAAGATTAGAGGTGCTACAATAGAGTAACAAACACAAAAAAAGAACAGATAAGGAATATAGATGTTTGGTAGGAAAGTTTAGTTTTAGCAAGAGTTTTACGGCACTTGCAACACAATAAGGCCATATAAAATCCGAAGAATAGATGTGTTACAAGAGAGTAAAGTACGCAAAAAGAAGGAGCAGAGATAAGGACGATAGATGTTTGATAGGAAAGAAGGAGCAAACTACATCAGGGCACTTGCAAACCATATGACCTATTTGTATTGCTACTAAAATAAAGTAATATTTTGTAATTTTTAAGTTCTAGTATAAGTAAGAGTTTTACAGCACTCGCCAACACCAACAACTACAACCACCACCAACAATCACAGCAACTTACCGACACAACACAGCAGCTGTAACAGAAACAAAAACATCCACCATATCAACCCCAACAATTGAAGCCATTAACATAATTTTTTTTTTAAAACAACAACCGTCAACCATCCCAAACTACAGAAACCACAAGCATGACCAGCAGACTTACGCAGTGAGAAGTGTCGGGGTGGACGTCTGAGGCTGAGATCCATCCAGAGACTCGGGCTGTGGAGGGGGAGAGGCCAGATGTCAGTGCAATATGTACTCAACACTACACACATACGCATATATATGCACACCCACCCACACATGCGTACGCATGCACACCCACACACTAGGGAACAACTGACAAAGAGACAGACAGATAATAAACAAAAGAGTAATAAGTTTTAGTAAGTATTTTATGGCACTTGCAACACAATAAGGTCATATAAGTGCCGAAGATTAGAGGTGTTACAAGAGAGTAACAAACACAAAAAAGAAGGAGGGGAGATGACTACAGATGTTTGAAAGGAAAAAAGAAGCAAACCACACCAGAGAACCCGCCAACCGCCCACAAAACAAGAGTGAAGAGAAGCATCACAAAGAGAGCATAAAGTGCAGGGAAAAAGGCAAGGGAGGCAGAATGAAACAACAGGAAGAAAGAAAAAAAGTAGCACCCACCGGTGGCTCCCTCAAACCACCCACGGAAAGACACATATACAAAAACAATGACAGACTGAAAAACAGATAGACAAGCGTGTAGAGGGATGGAAAAGTCCATAAACAGACATACAAATTTTTATAAGATGGACAGACGGACAGACACTGTTGGAGAAATACAGTGCAAACTAAAACTCATCACAAAGATATCAAGAACGAGTACCATGCAAAGAAGAAAATTTAGTTGAAGAAACCAATGAGTGGATTTTTTTTTCTTTACAAAGCTGAAACAATTAGCGAGTTATTGCAATTTTGATGCTTTGTCTCAGATTTTAACAGTAGAAGAGAAATTAGATTCTTCAAACAACATCAGAAAAACAAAGCAACACATCGAGTAATATCTTGCTTTTATCAAGAACAGTGTCTCATTGCGACAAACCCCGGGCAGTAAGCTTTGTTTTGTTTTAGTAGAGGTTTTACGGCGCTCGTAACTGCATAAGGTCATATGAGCACCAAGGGGTGGATGTCAACAGAGAAGTCCTTACAGGGAATCAGACTTACTCTGCTCACCTCTCTAGCTTCAACAGCACACAGTCTGCTTCGACTATCAAGGCACCCCGCAAATAGCGGGTCACAAGAGAGTGACAAACATACAAAAGAAATAGAGGTTAATGACGATAGTAAGGATTAGGAAAGAAAAAGCAGCAGCTCCCTGTTGTAGTTCAGGCACAGTTATGAGCATGACATTGTTGGATCAGCCCATTTACAATTCTACTGTGCATTAGAACAAGAAATGTCCCCCCTCTGGGAATGGCCTAAAGACACTTCTGTCAGTGAGAGGCACCCATGGGTGAAATCAATGACAGGTTCAAAAACATGAAATCCAAATTAGTAAAACGTCTAAAAAATGACACATGTTGAGAAACGTCGTCAGATAAACACACATAATATTATAAAATACACACATTCCCTCAAGATACATGCATGTAGTACACGTACTTTCATCAATGCATTCCTTTGACAACAATCCATCCAATCGGGTTCTAGGTCCGCGAAACAGCAATGTGCTATTCCTGGACGTTAATTTTTCACAGATGTATTAACTAACACGACAAAGTGTCACATCACAATCCCCACTGACACACACAAAAGTGTCGCGTCACTGTCACAGTCCACATATTTGCACTTTTCGAACTACAACTGAGGCTTCTTGCTAAATAACAGTTTAGCAATGGTGCACAGCACTTGTGCACACATTGTTAGGTGCTGTAGGTTGGGCTGTTGCAGTGGATGGTGAAATCGGCTGGACATGGGAATCTTTTCGTTTTGTACGAATTTTGCAAAGGACAAACTCTATGCTGCACCAAGGAAGATAACCAAGTTGGTTAATCAGGTCAAAATTTACATGAATTATGACACTTTTTGCCAAACTGACGAGCGAAATGGATTCATGGCAATTTCATTTCTAAATTTCAATGCTGTAGTCCTCAGTCTTAACTGAAATAATTTGGCTTGACATAGATAATAATAATAATAATAATTGCATTTATATAGCGCACATCCATGCTCAAGAGCATGCTCTGTGCGCTTTACAACCATTATTACCCCGGCAGACCCTCTCAGAAACATTCTCGGCTTCCGCGGAAGCATACAGTGCAAGCTGCGAATTTCACGCGCTCAAACACTATCAAACTGACAAGATCGTTCACTGTCTATAGCCGGGTACCCATTTCCACCTGGGTGAAGTGAGGAAAATTTGTGTAAAGTGCCTTTCCCAAGGACACAGCGTCGGGCCCCTGACGGGATTCGAACCCACGACCTTACGGTTGCGAGTCCGAGAGCCCATAGATCTAGATAAAGCTATAGCCTGAACTTTTTGAAACCAATGAAACACTGCTTGTTCCACTGCTATATACTTTAACAGTATGCCTTTTCATCCCTGGTTGAGCACTGTTCTCAATATTTTCCGGTGTTTGGAATCGCAAAACGTTTTGCAGATAGGGATTTTTAAATGGATTTCACATCCAACTCTGCTAGGATCAGCCGTTTGTCCTCAACCGAGCAGCCTTTGTACACTTCTTTTGCTCCGCTGTGGTTCACTCTCTACTACAACAACTTCACCTAGACCTAACTGCGCAGAGCGTCGGCAAGCTGCTGCATAGTGTGTAATCTCTGTTGAAGAGAAAGCGATGACACATGTCGCGACAATAGGGCCTTACCGGCTACGTGCCTTCACAGGCAGACTCTCCGCTCGCATGTCTAAACCAAATCTGCCACTCTATGAAATCTAAAAATCAGGATCTTAATTTGAAAAAATTGGGATCGGCAAAAAATCACCAAGGTGACTAGCAAACCGATTCAAAAAATTTTCAGGGGCGTTAATAACTATCCAGGTATAGGCCCTCTGCATGCGCGCATGTGTGTATATTTTATCATTATTTTTTTCAATTCTGAAGTAGTATAATGTCAAGGACCCCTTGCCCAAGTCTCTACCCCTCCCCCCTCCCCGTAAGCCTCGAAAGACACTTCAACCAGTGTACATGAACTTAAGTTGACCCTGTCAACGGACTGTCCCGGACACACGCGAAACTCGAACGCCGAAGTCATGTCACGTGATGAGAACGCACTATTGAAAGGTTTACTCAGAGGTCTTGATGACCGACTAAACAGAAGTTGGACAAAGCTTGTTTTGAAGTCAAAGTAAAACAATAAATAATATTGATCATTTGTATGCCGCAATTGAAACAGTTATCAGGCCATCATCTGAGAATTCTGAGATTACGGGTCCAGTAGCTCAACATTAACAACTAGACAACACCGCAACTAAAGTGACCATGTTTGATCTAGATCTAGGTCTACCCCTGAACACTCCTGTGCCGTATGAAAGAAACACGTTCTTAGCCTACGCCCAGGCTACACTACTGCCCTCGGCTTGAGCCTATCGAGAGGTCATAGTCTCTCTCTCTCTCTCTCTCTCTCTTTCCACGGCTACATCGGTAAACTGAAATTTGCCGCCATCTATAGGCCTTCATGTAATTAGATCTACCCTCGATGTCGCCGATTTTTTCCTTCGCTATGCACGAATTGTCAAGCCTTTGAGAGTGTTTTAATACACAGAATAATATAGGCCTTCAACTTCAAGTTCAAGACAAAATTCAGGACCTCAAATTCTGTTCGCTACATTTAATATTCTATGTGCGTCTTATCTACATTTAATGACAGAATTAATTTCCTTTTTTTTTTCTTCCTTTTTGTTGCTGACATAAATCACACTCTTTAAAGTTTAACAACGTGCTTCTGCTAGTCCAAACGACCCACAAACATGAGCCAAAAATGTCAAAACCAGCCACAATTTGCAAAGTAGGGCTAAACCTGGGTAAATCACGGACAGAGCGGTCTTGCCAGATCAATAACATCGTGGTCGTAGTGTTTACTGCGACATAGATCTAATTGGGTTATTTCTGCGCGTGTAAGTGTAAGGCTCATTTTGGCCAGTAGGGTAAGCTGAAACAGACCAGCAACGTAACCAAATGCAAAGAGCCAGAACCTGTGTATTGGGAGAATGACTAATTCCGAAATGTATATGCAGTCGACAATTTGTCCCAAACCGACAAAGTTGGAAAGCTTATTTTCAAAAGCCAGAATTACAGCATGCAAGAAAACTTTCACCCATGGTGGCATTGGGGGAAGGGCAGTGAGCAGGCATGTCCAAACGCACGCACACACGCACGCAAGCACACACACACACACAGAGGAGAGCATGCTCAGACAAGCTCCCACCTTGGCAAAGATCCGCTCTCTAATGCGGATGTAAACTTGCTGACGCTCCTCAAGAGACTTTGCCCGGGTGTCGCCCAGCTGAGTCTTGCCAATGCCTCGCGTCTGAAACAAACCACCAGCCCGTCAACACACACGCCAAATGCAACCAGGAACAGAGATATGGCAGATTTTTCCACACCTCTGGATAACATTGGCACGCTGTACAGTATTTCGACACACAACAAAACTGTCAGTAGCAAGCACACTACACAGTCATCAGCACATGACATAAGGTGTCAGCAAACACACTACACAGCAGTGAACACACTCCACGAGTACAGCTATCAACACACCACAAATCTGTCAGAAAGTACACCGCACAGTTCCCTGCTAACAACAGTGCTGTCAACATCACACAGCTATGAACAGACCATACACTCATCAGTCAACACACCAGACACCACTGTACATAATATACCCATGTCAGAAAGCTACACAGTTGCTAGTTCACTTCCATACCTGCCAACATTGCCTGGGCCAAAAACTGTAGTTGACACAAATTTTTGTCTAAAATTCTGTAGTTGACCTAAAAAATCTCTAGTATGCTATATTACCACTTGCCGCATACTTAACTGGGGACCCTTATCAATATTTTGACCCACATACACATGAGAGTGTTTGCGACTTCAAACAAATGTAGAAAATGACAAAGAACAAAAAACAAAAATTAGCAATGACAATGAAAAATTAAATTTTTATCCAGCTTAAATGAAAGAATAGTAAATTCTAAGAACTGTGGTTTTTAAATTTTTAAAATCCATTAATAAATTAAAAAGTCAAAGGGATTTTTTGTTTCAAAATTTGGGGGGACTTTCATATCGGAAAATATTGACAAAAAGTGCGACGTTTTTGATGTATTTTGATGAAAAACTGTTCATAAGTCAGTAATGAATTGAAGTATATGAATGAAACTTGGCATCTTCTAGTGATTTTTAGTGCAGAATCTAGTTCTGCTATCACTTTTTTGAAGTCTATCTTTGGATCTTTAAGACGAATATTAAATTTGCATGAAAATATGTTGAATTGCGCGACATCGCTTGAACTGTGTCCGATCACCCCTCTACACCTTAGCAAAGCAGTATCGAGAAAACCCGCAATGATGTCATTGGTAACCTGTTTAGTTTTAGCAGTTGTAAAATTTTATTACTGTAAAACTCTCTGGTTTTAGGCAGTCAATCACATGCCGCCTAGCGATCACGCGCCTCTTGAATGCCGGCAACTCGCGTGTTGAGTCCGTGATCTAGTTTCCATCGCTAGTGTTTTATCAATGGATGGGTGGTAATTTTAAATTGGTACATAAAGTGTAGGCCTTCACAAAGATCTGAAATTTTACAGCAATAAAGAAGACATGTGGGGTGCTTGTGGGTGGCTTATCTCTCAAAATCAGTGGCTCGGCAGTTTGACCAAAAAGTCTGTAATATACCGATTTTTTCTGTAGGGTTGGCAGGTATGCACTTCACAGAAAAATACAAGCACCAAACCATCACCACCACCACCATTATACATCATCATCTGAGCCTATTTTCTCTAGAACTCGCACAACAACTCAAGTAAGAAAGCCCCATCCACTCAAAATACATACCTGTTTTTCATCCAGACTCGCTGGTTTCTTCAGCAAAATCCTTTTCTTCTCGTGGCTCCCGTGCTCGATTTCTCTCAGATAATCGACAAGGCTGGGTTCCGGTCTGGAACAAAAGGCAAGATGGAATTAGTCAGATTATCTGTTTCTTTTATTAAATATTTGTGTGTCCAGTATCAAATCAACACACAGATGCCCCCCCCCTCCCCCCCCCCCCCTTCAGGGCAAAGAAAAAGCAAGACAGACACTAACAACATCGGGGAAAATAAGTAGAAGAACCTACCAGCAGCAACCTCCAACCACCCGCATTTAATAACCGCTGAACGCTGATAAACATTAAAGCAAGCTATCTGATGTTTAGTTTAGTTTTAGTTTTAGTAAGAGTTTTACGGCACTTGCAACACAATAAGGTCATATAAGTGACGAAGATTAGAGGTGTTACAAGAGGGTAACAAACACAAAATAGAAGGAGGAGGAGAGATCAGGACAATAGACGTTTGATAGGAAAGAAGAAGCAAACCACACCAGAGCCCCCGCCAACCACACACTATCTGATGTTAAAAAGATGACAACAACATAACTCAAAGTAGTCGCTGTGTGCTAATAGGATGCAGCACACCACAATCAGCCACCACAAGTTAACATTATTTCTAGATTTAGGCCACTGACAACAAACTTTAACTCAATGTGTTTGCAGGACAGGACAGGACACTTCAGTCACATACCAACAAAGAAACAAAATATCACACAATATGTTGACATCATAAGTTTGACTGAAAACATGACAAGAGTGTGTGTGTGTGTGTGTGTGTGTGTGTGTGTGTGTGTGTGTGTGTGTGTGTGTGTGTGTGTGTGTGTGTGTGTGTGTTTGTGAGCGTGAAAGCGTTTGTACATGCTTATGTGCATGAGCGAGTGAGTGCAAGCGAAAATGTGGAAGTGTATGGACGTTTGTATGTACGTTTTGGCGAGAGCTTTTTTTGTTTTTGTTTTAGTAAGAGTTTTACAGCACTTGCAACACAAAAAGATCATATAAATGCCGAAGATTGGAGGTTTTACAAGAGAGTAACAAACACAAAAAAGAAGGAGGGAAGATAAAGACGATAGATGTTTGATAGGAAAGAAGGAGCAAACCACACCAGAGCACCCGCCAACCACCCGTCCCTTTGGGGAGGGCAAATGTGTTCATAATATGTATATTTATGTGTGTGTTTTTTGTGAGTGCGTATATGTGTCCGTCATCAAGTCTGTGTGTGTACTCACATCCTGGTGTAATCTGTCTTGGCGACGATCACACTCTTGCCCGTCTGATCCACGTTATGTTCTATACCCATATGGGCTGCCAGACGATGTACCAGCATACGGTCGTACGGGTTCATTTCATGAAGCTTTTTCGTACGAACCCTGCAAGCAAATACATACACAATGGGCATTATCAAGTCTATGTACCACTAGTAACATTGTTAACATTGAGTCATACTTAAACTTGGTACCACAAAATAATTGATTACAGATGCTTAGTAAAAACACAGTTTACATAGTTCACTTAAGAGACTGGCAGCTTCAACCTTGCTCGTCAGGGCCGACACAGACTGAGTAAAGCCTGGCAGTTCAATTATTGGGTACACTATAACACAGCTCATCTGCTTGTGAGCCGTTGAAAGGTGCCACTAGGTCTTGCCTTTTTCCCCCCTTTCATCAATTCTTTCTGTCCGGCCATCTTACTCTTTTACTCTTTCCACTACTGTTTCCATGTGCTTATTACGGTGCCACGTTTCGCCCGCTTGTGTTACTTTTAGTTACCGTGACTCAGCAGTCCGCTGGAGCTCACCACCTCGAGGTCAAGTGTTTAATGAGCCATAAAGCGACTTTGCCAGTGTCGGTTAAGAAGTTTGCATTTTTGTGTACATTTGAAACGATACAACTTCTTCCCCATCATACGCAGCAAACCAAAATACTGATGTGCTAAAAGCTCAGTCTTGAGAATTATTTTGCATTAGAATGGTTAACTTCTATGCCTTAGTTTTTGTTCAAGACAAGTGTTTGTAGAGTACCTAATTTGTCCTACTTTAGTTACGTACTAATAAATGATTGTTTATTTAAAAACAGTTCGACAGATCTCTCCAAAATCAATATTGAACTGACTACGCATGTCTTTTATCATGAGATAATTTAAAATCAGCCCAAGTAGTGATAGTCAAGTTATAAGAGAATAAAGATGTACATCTATATTTTTTTGACAAAATACACCCAGCGTTAGCTGTTGTTTTACCGTTAACCAAGAGAAAGTAACTCTGCGTTTGTTCATGAATCATGCTGTGTCTGTGACGGCCTGCTTACAACCAAGAATGATATGCGATTTGTTTAAAAATACAAGGGCAGAGACAAACTTCTTGTATGGAAAATAAAAACAGTGACAGAAAACACATTCACTCTTAGTTTGTGTTGGAAATATGTGCAGATACTTATGAACTTGAAGAAATCAAAACATTCTCAGTTATTGCAAATGGTTATAGAAACTAAAATAAAATCTGGAAAAGCTGGGTGCTAATTCAGTGTCACTGCAAAGCTAGAAATTATTCTGAAAACCAAGTTACGAGAAGTCATCCCTGTTTTTCAGTCAACTTAAAAACCTAGACTAAGCGTTTTAAGAAAAGTAAGAAATTTAAGGAGTGCAACAAGTACTGTTCGTGTATTGCCCTGTGTATGTATTCTGGCACTAAACTCGATTTGCACTTCTTCATAGAGAGACTACAGTTTAATTTTTATAAACTTCCGAGAAAATATGCATATACTCACGATAGTATTAGACACATAAAGTTGTATGTAAAAAATACAGTCTTCTATTGTCTGCCTTGATACAATCTTTTCTGAGTATCTCCTTCAATGTTATGTCATTCAAGTTCCAAAGGTTTGACAGCTTTTGTTGAGCCATCTTTTTAAACCGATTTTTTTTTTCATTCACATTTGTCCAAAAATTTTACAATTTAGTGTTGCCGACTTCAGCGCGTCTAACGACATAACCAGACAAGTTACAATGTCCATTCTTTTTAGAGTCACTGTCCATTCTTTTTAGAGTCGCGAGAGCAGAAATGCGTGCTTTTAAGTGCCTTAAATGATTAATTACCAAAAAAAACCAAGGATATACTGAAAATTTTACGTTGAGAAGCTCAAAAAATTAAGTTAACCCAGACAGAGCGGCAACAGGGAGCTGACCCCCGTGACCCCGACGTGATAAGGTGCTCAGCGGGAAACCCCCTGCTACAACTAAAATTCCACCACTGGTACACCGTGTTATATTTACCCACATATACAATGTTTGTCAGCATGACCTACCAGTCTCTCTCTCACACCCCCTCACCCCCACCCGTCACTAGCAAGTGTTTCCAGCCAACTTACGACTCATCCCGGACAAAGTTTTGTAGTTCTCGTTCAAGGAAAAATAAGGTTTTTTTATCCTTGGGAGACTTCATTAGCGTCTGTTTGAAGAACTCCCCAAGGTCGATGCCAGACGCATCTTTGTACAAATTCTCTTTCTCCACAACACAGGCGTCGTCCTTATATGTGCTATCTTCATCAGTACTTGAGACGTCCTTATAAAACTGCTCTTTGTCGATGGCCCCTGCCTGCTGAAGCACTACGGTGCTGGCGGTGCTGTTGGTATCTGTGCTCGAAGCTGCAGGGAACACATACAATATACAGCCATAAATATGTGGAACCTTATAGGTGACAAATACATAGCCATAAAAGTGGAACCTAATAGGTGACAAATACATAGCCATAAAAGTGAAACCTAATAGGTGACAAACACATAGCCATAAAAGTGGAACCTAATAGGTGACAAACACATAGCCATAAAAGTGGAACCTAATAGGTGACAAACACATAGCCATAAATATGGAACCTTATTAGGGACACAAACAGTCATAAATATGGAACATTATAAATTGTACAAATACGCAGTAACAAACAAGAAACCAAATCAACTTATATATGACTAATTACCACAGAGTGCACCACTCATAGCCTGGGGTTGCTACAATAATAAGTTTTGTACAGCTTCCTCGAAAGAACTATATCGACAGTCAAAAAGTAAATTAGAACTGGGCTTCACCAGAGTCTTGTATTTACTATGCATGCTAAGTTATCAGAAAAAAAAGTGTTTGTTTTTTTGTTTTTTTGCATGAATTGAAATTATGCTGATCAACATAGTCTTGTTCTTTGATATAGCAACACTTGGAGATGTTTCTTGTCATCAGCAAGTTACAACCTTTCAGGAAAAACAAAGTCAGTAATGGACTGTTAACTGCGGTGAAACAGTGGGATAAGATCAGAAATGATAGAAAGACTAGGTTCGAATTTGAGCGGGGTCAAATTTTTCAATCTTCCAAGAATGTTCCTCTCAGCGGACTATCCTCATATAGGATAGCGTATGCAACCTGCATTGTTTGTGTCTAGCAGAACATCTTCTTCTTTTAGACTTTTCCAGTAGTTGGACGTTGCTTTCCAGACCTTTCCGCAATAAAACACAATGACTCGTGCCATTCTGCCTGCCTGAGCTGTTTTGGTTCCAAGCACGGTTTTAATCTCCTGTTCCCATCATCCATTGGGACTCCCCATTCCTCTCTATACCTTTTACTTTTGCTTCCAGAGAACAACGCCGACAAGAAACATGCTGGTTAAAGAGTAAGACAGTGACCCTTTTCATTTTGTTGTAGTAGAGTTTTACAGCACTTGCAACACAATAAGGTCTTATAAGAGCCGAAGATTAGAGGTGTTACAAGATAGTAACAAACATAAAAAAGAAGGAGAGATCAGGATGATAGATGTTTGATAGGAAAGAAGGAGCAAACCACACCAGAGCACCCGCCAACCACCTTCAACCCTTTTCAAAAATGTGACTCAGAAACAACAAAGGTGGAAGATACACATGCATGGTTAAGAGTCTGAAACAACTATAGGTGGGTTAAGCCTTCAATGAAAAGACAGGGTCAAAGGTCGGAGGTGACTTACCTCTGGACAGGGTTGTCTCAGCGACTGGGTCCGTGATTTCAAACGTGCCACGACCAGAGTCCTGGAGAAACGAGAAGGAGAAAGTGTGAGCAAGGGAGAAGCACAGAGTTTAGTTGTAGTGAAACATTTTCAACACACATACGTCATTTAAATGCCCAAATTTAGAGGTATTACTAAAGAGCAACATACAAAGAAAACAAGGAGAGACAAAGACAATAGCTGTTTGATAGGAAAGAAGCGAGCAAACCACATCAAAGCATCAGCCAGCTACCCAAGCCTGTCATTTTTTTTTTTTACTATACTTTTATTTTGAGTAAAGAAAAGCTCTGAAACTGCAGGAAAACAGTGAAACACACAGGCAGAAACAACAAAGAGAGAAAAAAAAGGAACAGGACCTATCAGTAGTTTGTTTTAGTAGAGGTATTACGGCCATCACAACTGCATGAGGTCATAAGAGCGCCAGAAGATTAGATGCATTACAAGGGAGTAACAAACATAAAAAAAAGAAGGAAGGGAGATAAAGACGATAGACGTTTGATAGGAAAGAAGGAGCAAACCACACCAGAGCACCCGCAAACCACCCATGACCTATCAGTAGTGACCTCTGACTATCTACTAAACACAAAAACATAAAGACTCTGTGTTTTAGTTTTAGTTTTAGCCTGCACTACTTTTTTCATCATTGTCAGCCATCCTCACTCCGTGTTGGGAGATAGGCCACCGACAAGAGCTCTCCATGTACTTCTCTACATCAAAAGACACAAAAAATGGTCACCAAGAGAGTGAGAGGGACAAAGGGGGGGAGAGAGAGGGAGGGGGAAACAGGGAGGTTTTTAAGGTTTTACAGCGCTCGTAACTGCATAAGGTCATATGAGCGCCAGAAGATCAGAGGTGTTACAAGAAGAGAGTAACAAACATACAAAAAGAAGAAGGGGAGAGAAGGATGATAAATGTTTGATAGGAAAGAAGAAGCAAACCACACCAGAGCACCCGCCAACCACCCACCAGAAGGAGGAGGGAGGGGGGAGAGAGAAACAGAGATAATAAAGGCAAACAATCACTAATAATGTTTCAAACAGAAACAAATAGGCAGAGACAGAAAATGAGAGACATGTACACACAGTAACATTTACTCACAAACAGAGAGGGAGACAAAATGAAAGAGTGAAAGAAAACAGAGAAATTGACTTTTCACAACCATTTTTTCATTCATTTTACCAAACACCCTATCTCCTTCAATTGTAAAATACAGTTGAACCTGAGTAAAACGGCCACCCACTGTAAAGGCGAAAATTATCCATGTAACACAGGCAGCCATCTTAGGCAGGACTGATCAAAATCAAAATGACAAATAAATATAAACAATTCCCTTCGAGATCCAAACCAGGGCTGATTTCAGGCTTAGGACTGCCGAGGGGCGAATTCAAAGGTGTCTTTTGTTTTCTTTGAAAAAGGGGGGGTGTAAGAAGGGATTTTTCTGTGTTAGCTTTTTGTTGCTGATTTTATGCAAAGATAAAATAGAGAATGTAAGAAGATGTAAACCGAGTGCCACGGTAAAACAAACACTGGGTTTATAAAATAAACAGTGGGTTTATAAAAAAAGGTGGCTGCGGCCGGGTTGGACAGGTGACAATTTTACACAGTTAAATTATGTTGAAAAAACGCAAAGGGGGAAACGGAAATTGACCGTATTATACAGGTGGCCATCATGGCAGGTTCAACTGTATCTTGACTTCTATTTAAGTCAGACAGGTCTTTTTTCCTCTCTTCAAAAGACCAAAAAAAAGAACAAGCTTTAAAATTATACCGATGAAGTTCATGTGCCCAAAATTTGATGTGCACCAGGTTCCACTATGTCCTCACACACGCACGCTCGCGCGCACACACACACGCACACGCAAGCAAGCAAGCACGCACGAATGCCCCCTGCCCCCCCCCCCCCTCCCCCCAGGGCTCCATCACACATCTCACTCACATTGGAGATGGCCATCTTGTGCGACGATCTAAGAAACTCCTTGGCCTCGTAGGAGGCCCCCGACCCGCGCTGACTGGCCAGTCCACCAGAGGGCGCGCCATTTGACAGGGGCGGCGCCGTGATCGTTGTCTCCGGGCTTGTGGGGCTGCCATTGCTGTGCAGTTGGGACAGGAAGGAGTCGGGGGGCGGGGAGGTGCCTTCTAGCGCCTGCGTGCGTATCAAAGTCTGCTTGCGTGTGTTGGGGGGCTGGAAATAATGTTAGAGGAGCCAGAACATTATTTTGTGTTCAAATGTATGGCCAACAAGTGAAAGAACTCAATAGTTTTTGAGTGAGAGGGAGGGAGCGGGAGAGGGGGTGGGCAGGGAGGGGGACAGGGACAAGAGGGAGAGAGCGAAGGGGAGAGTGACATGGGTGAGAAAGGGAGGGAGAGAGAGAGAGAGTGGGGGGAGAGGAGGAGGGAGAGACAGACAGACAACAAAGACAATCAGTAATAATATTTCAAACAGAAACAAATTGGCTCACAAACGGAAAAGGAGACAAAAGTGAAAGTGCAATAAATAAATGCAAGAAGTGAGAAAGCATTTCAGAAAGGGGGGCTCTCATGGCCTAGAGGTTAAGGTGTTGGCCTCTCATTCAAAGGTCCCGGGTTCGAATCCGGGTAGCGACCAAAAAATTTTCTTCTCTAAAATTGTCTCCTTTCACCTCCTTTCCTGCTCTCTATCAATGTTCTGTTGTCTGCTTTCATTTCCACTTTCTGCCCTCACCCCCTCACCTCCTTTGTCCCCTCCTCTGGGCTCCTGACTCTTTCTGCAGCCTTTCTACTGTTACTCCTTGGCTCCTCCTTACTGCTGTCTTTCTGCCACACCCCTGATCTTCTGGTAGGAAATATCTACACCTAGCCTTCTCGGACAAGGGCGAAAAATCTCGGAGGGCCCGTGTGCAAGTTGCGCACGTTATAAGATCCCTTGGTGGTCTAAAATCGATAAGAGTAGGCTTCGGCCGCCACCCGGGCAAAATTCAAAATTTCCTGCCAACTGAAAATATTAGGTGTGTCCCGCGCGCTCATATGACCTATGCAGTTGCGTGCGCCGTAAAACACTTACAAAAAAAAAAAAAAAAAAAAAAATTTCAGAAAGATACATAAAACTTTTTTTTTTTAAATTCGCTTTGTTTTAATAAGAGTTTTACGGCGCTCGCAACTGTATAAGGTCATATGAACGAGCGAAACACTAGTCGGTTTCAGTCATAACAGATCACTGCACGGCTTGGCTCAGGTCAACGATCAGATTTGTTAAAAATCTGAGGTAAAATAACAATCTAAAAATGATAACCTGCTTAAAATCAAAACAACTGCATTTACAATTTTCCATAAACGCCAATGGCCTTTATAAATCAAGGATTCTGTACGGATCATGACGGAAAAAAAATCTTGCAACTTTTTGCATTTAAAACATTTCCTTCATGACTCCCGAAGTTTGGACATTCTGTTAAAATGTGTCAGATGGTAAAATCTGTGTCGAAAAAGAACGGCTTCTCATCTCCCTGAAGGAGATATTTATTTGTTAGGGATGTGTGTCCAATGCATAATGGAGCAAAAATGACTTTGTCTCTTCTAGAGAGGCCTGAAGGTTTTCGTGGTCCCAGTTTGGGCATGATGTTGAGGAGTTTGTTGTTGGTTTGTTTCTCCCAATCTGGGCCGCGGGGCGACCAACCCCAACCCAGTGCGTCCACAGGAGGTTAGCTGCGAATATCTAAATAAGCAGTTGCAGACCAAATGGCGGTGAGGATGGAGGGCGGGGTGAAGACTGTGGTGTGGGATCCCATTCTTCTACCCAATGTAAAATACCCTAAGTGCCCGGTGAAAGACTCGCCAGCGAGACTGGGGCGCGATATCCCCACCCCGGGTAGATGGAACTTGTTAGCAAGGGATGGCAGCTCATCTAGGAGAAGGAAAACTCTGATCAAAAACCCCTGCTGCCTAGCAGGCAAACCCAGGAAAGTTGTAGGATATGGGAGCACTCCCAGACAGAAAAGCATGCAGAAGACGGAGAGGTGGACCGAAAGGTGCCGATAGTCGGGCTTGCCCAAACCGCCCCACGCAAGTCTCATTATGATATCGAGAACGAGGAAGAAGAAGAAGAAGTTTCTCCCAATGTGTCTCCAACAGACTAGAGGTGTAGATTTTGACTTTATGTTTTAAGTCAGTCTGTGAGAGTGTCTTCGTCGTTGATCCCAACAGAAGGGATGTGGATTCCTTTGCCAGGAGATCCATCTGCTCGTTTCCTCGAACGCCCACATGGCTAGATAGCTACGTGAACACAACACTTTTCCTAGTTTCAGTCAAAGCATGTATTTTTTGTTGTAACCTAATTAATTTTGGTTGTAAGAGTGTGTAGTTTGTAAGTGAGGTGATGCAAGGCAGGGAGTCAGATAGGAGAAGGAAAGATTTTTTGGGGTTGAAATTTCTTCGGAGTGAGTGGCCTCCGCAGAGTCAATAGAGGCTTTGGGATGGAGTCTCCTCTGGTGTGTACTGATTTAGAGACATCTGTGAAGATTACCTCTGCACCGGGGTGTTTTTCTATAAGCATTTTGTATTCTGCTTTAAATGTTTCGGTGTTTGTGCTTGCTTTGTCGTGTGTGGCCAGCTGTAAGTCTACTTTTGCCTTGGTGAGGAGCCACGGAGGTAGGTCGGGGAAAAGAAATTGTTGGATGTCTTGTTTGGAAAAGAGTATGTTTTTGAGGTCCTCAAGGACTCTAAGGCTGAAAGTTAAGTTGAGTTTTCCTTTGTTTTTAATTTGTTTATGACATCTGATTTGTTCTGAAAATGCAGTCGTGTGCTGGGTTATTTGATCCTGGTGCCGAGCTCTATTTAGTTGCATATTGTAGTGAAAGTCGTGTACGTATGAGTGTAAGCAGGGTTGGGTTGATTTAAATCAGTTGATTTTTTAAATTTAAATCAACTTGATTTTTAAAATAAAAATCAGTGATTTAAATCACTTTTGAAAAATTATTTATTCAGTTTTTACATATTTCAACATTCAGAATTCCTTTCCTTGGTTTCATAAAACAGATATAAGGTTAAGTAGACTAATATAATCATGTTTAAAAGTCTTCTTTCCCTCCTTTCACTGTAAAATAATACAGTATTCAAATTACTTTTTTTTTCCATAATTGAAATCAGAGCTGGGTTGATTTAAATCAGTTGATTTTTTTATATATTTTAATCAACTTGAT